ATTTAAGAGAGAAAGTGCTCTAGTTCACCTTAACCAGTGCACTTTCTGCCAAACAATGAAAGACTATACCAGAATACTAAGAGGAATTAACAACTGAGGTCGACTTTGAGAAGGTAGTCAGTTTTTTTTTGTTTGTTTGTTTTGTTTTTGTTTTCAAGACAGGGTCTCGGCTCTGTCACCCAGGCTGTAGTTTACTGACTTGATCATAGCTCACTGTAGCCTTAAATTCCTGGGCTCAAGCATTTTCCCACCTCATCCTCCTAAAGTGCTGGGATCACAGGCGTGAGCCACAGATTGCGTGCGCCTGGCCTAGTCGACTAATATTTTTTTCCCCCAGTCCACTACTTTCAAAGAAAGAGTGGGGCACGCAGAAGGAAAAGAAGGGCAGACAAGAAACGCCTCTGATTGTTCAAAATCCAGAGAGACATTTACAAGCAAAAGTCGCGCACACAGAGAGAGATCTGGGACACCTGGGACTAAGCACCAGGAAACAAGATTCCAGGTGAACGAGTGACAGAAAAGGCCAGGAGGGACAAGGGGTTCGGACTGGTTGGGCGCGACAAGACTCGGAGGAACAGCAGCCTAAGGTGTCCACAACCCAGAGACAGTAGCGGGGCCTGAGGGTTGTTTAGCGCTAGAAGGGGGCCGAGAGCGGAGACGGGGAAGCCCCGGTCTTACCTTTGTGCTTCCGGAAGCAGGTCACTGAGCAACTGTAACAAAACAGACAACAGACAGCGTCAGCCCCAGAGGCCGAGCAGACCCTCCCGCAGCCCTCCAGCTCCCACCTGGCCTCCCAGCCCGGATACTTGCGCTCCCCCAGCCTCCATAACCTCCCCGCTCACTAGGGCACGCGGCAGGCTGGGCAACGGTATTTGGGCTTCTCCAAGCAAATGACGCAGACCAGCGCGCTGCAATTGAGGGATGCCATGTCTCGCACACCGCAGGTCCCCAGCCCGCCCCCAAGAGCACGTCTCTAGCCGCTGGGCCTGGAGGCACGTCCTATTTCCGTTTCCTAAACCAGGACCAATCAGCGCTCAGCACTTACTGGCAGACAAAAGCAATTGATTAATCCTATTCATTGTTCCAGTCCTCATAAGTAGAGCGTCGATACACTCGATGCACATCAGTTCCTTGGCCTTCCTTGCCTTGGTCATGTTATAAAACCTGTTATGTAGCCTTGTCCCTACCTTTACCTGACTGTTTGACTTGGAAAAGGTTATCACCACTCCACGTCTTTTTGCCTACCGTGTAAAAAGAATGTGTGAGGCTACATTACTTTCCAGCTCGGACTTTCTGAAT